GCTTGGTAGCGACGAAGGGTGCTAACTTGATTGTTCTAGCTCTCAATGAGAGCACCAAATGATAGAGTATATCTCTAGAGAGAAGTGAGAGCTAGAGAGAGAAGTGCAATAATATGCTTCAATAGAATGATTTTGTAACCCCCATAACTACTCCCAAGGGGAGTATTTATAGAGAAAATTAGGGTTGGGCTCCCAAGCCTTGGGCTTGGGAGGCCCATTTACAACTGGACCGCTACTGGGCCGAATACAAAGCCTCTAATGGGCTGTACAAGTGAGTAAGTATAGAATCCGATTCTGGGAGGTCTTCGTGGCCGACGAGGGCGTGGCCGACGAGGGCACCCGAGTCCCTTAAACTCAGGACCGTAATCTGAGTTGGCCCCTTTTCGGCCGACGGGGGCATCTTGGCCGACGAGAGCGCCACTCTGTTGTCTTGTGCTCTATTCTTCCGGGTATGTGGGTCCTGGGGCTCAGACCCATATACTCCATCAGAAACAATCTAATGAAGTAAGAATTATTTAAAAGCACACATACTTTACCAATTTAGGAATGAGATAAATTCCGTTAAACAAACCGAAAAGTAAGAATAAAATCATTTTAGTGAGAAGGACGAAATACTCCGAATTAATCAGAGAGTGTTTGCAAGAGATTAAAAAGTGTGTTTCAATCAGCTTTTTGCTTAAAAAAGTTGAAATTAGTGTTTTCAGGTGACAACTTCTACTGGTTGTGAAGTTAGCGTGTCTAGTGGTATGTCTCGAAGTCGGAACCAGCTAGACACATAAGGGTTTGAAACTCAATGGAGTGAGTTTCGAGCCTGATTACTCTAGCCCCCCCCCCCCCCCCCCCCCCCCCCCCCCGCCACCCTGGAGTAAAAAAAAGGTGACAACTTCTACATAAATTAAGCACTTAAAAGCTTAAAGCTGAAAGCCGGTTGAGAGATGCTTTATAGTGTTTTTCACTTTTTCTATTACATAAAAGTATAAAACACTGTCAACTTTTACTTTTTCAAAAATACTTTATTCTAAAACATTATTAACTTTTATAATTAAGCATTTTCTATAAAACCTCTTCAAAAAACTACAGCACATTTTAAAAGTAGAAACAATCTCATCAGCAAGCTAAGGGTTGACAAATCTTTCAAAGAAGGAGGACGACTAGCAATTAAAATTTGAAGATCTTTGCAATAATTGAATATTCTTAACATGATAGCAGTCAGCTGATGCTGCCATCTGGAGATGCAGTTATCTGTTATGCAGTGACAGCGGCTGAATCTCTTCGATAGGCGACAAGCTTTTCTACTTTTCCCTACGCTTTGTAAACACCTAATTGGTTGATTCCTGAGTTAACTGGAGTAATTTTAAGTTTCCAAGAATCTATTTCTGACAGTCACTATTGTTTCAATTTTTTTTTATAATCCAAATTAAATGTCGGGGCTTACGCTCCCATAATCCTGGAATCTATGAACTACCCTTCAAACTCCTTAGACAGTTAAGTCCGGATCTGATCACAGTCAGCCTCGTCAGTACTGGCTCCAAAGGACGAATCCAGCAGGACTTACATCACCTTTCAGGTTGCTCCTCCAACCACACGAATCCGCTACCTTCATTATCATCCTCTCCCTTCTCATCCGCTGAGCAACTCCTTGAAAGTAAGAAGAATCATTGAGAGCAAGACCTTCCTCATCTCCCCTAAATGTGCCTAGCGGGATTCGAAGCCGAGACCTCCGCTAGGACACGGTAACCTTCCACCCAGTGAGCTGGAATGGTTGGTTAGTCACTGTAGTTTCAAAGTTGTTCCAAATTTTAAGTGTACATGTTTAAAGTTTGTGTTACATTCACAAATAATTAAATTGCATAAACACTTGCTTTGAAATTTGATGTCTTAATCTCAAATGAAATAATTAACCATCATAATTAAATTGTACCATAACGATATAGATAATAATTATATTATAAATTTTACTCCCTCCGTCCCTAAATAAAAGCATCTGTTTCCTTTTCGGACCGTCCCTAAATAAAAGTTCTCTTTCCTTTTTTGGCAAACAAAACAGTGCAAAACAATGCAAAACACTGCCAAACAGTGTCCAAACAGTGCCAAACAGTACCAACCAAACCCACTTTCTTAAAATGTGTGGAAAACGAATTGATACTTTTATATAGGGACGGAGGGAGTATTTCATTGTGTTATACTCAATTTTTTTTTGTAGAATCAAATAACATCATTAATACTTATCAAAGGTCAAAACATGAGAAATACAAACTGGGGATAACCAAACCAAAACCCATCAGAACCACAACAGACTTCTCTAGCGAGAATATGGGCAGTCTAAAATCTAAATCACTGATTGGTGCACATATAATGGATATGTGCATTGTCAAAACTTGTCATCATATGTTTAATATTTCTAAAAATAATGTCTTTGAAATGGAGACCATCCTCCCGTGAAATAGGTTTTCAAAATTGTAAGTATACATGCTTAAAGTTTGTGTTACATTCACCGGCAAATCACATAAACACCTGCTTTGAAATTTGATATCTTAATTTTAAATTAAATAAATCAATATCATAATTATATTGTGCGATGATAGTATGGATAATAATTATTTATCTATATCAATTCATTTTGTTATCTCAAATCTTAATCAAAACAAGAAATATAAAATGAGACAAACCTTTTCTCTTAATAATTAATAGTCCAATAGTACTACCACCATCTATCCCTTTAAATTTTGTTCGGCTAACTTTGTCACTTTCCCTTTTAAGTGAATAATTGATGGTTCCAGCTAATTATCTCTAATCTGCATAAACCTCAATCGCACAGCTTTTACTTTATTCATCTTCATATCAATCAAATTTGTGTAAGTTTTGTAAGGGTGAGATCAGGTTGGGTTGGGTCGTTTTGGCTAGGACCGAAAAAAGACGAAAACTTTCGGGGTCTACATTTTTTGCCACAATCGAAAGACCAATACTTCCGGCCTGGTCATGGGTTTTTTGCCCTGGTCGAAAAACCAATACTTCCGGGCTGGTCATTGTCTTATGAACTTCAGGTTCAGGTTGAGTAACATCAAACTGTTTTGAAACAAAAACTACTACCTCCGTCCCGAAATAATCATCATGGTTCGACCTTCACACAGATTAAGAAAGTGAAATTGGCTACACAGTGTAGCGACACTGTTTGGCACTGTAGCGACACTGTTTGACACTGTTTTATATAGATTTGTTGACCAAATAAGGAAAGGAGACAATTATTTCGGGATGGATCGAAAAGGAAAGCAGGACAATTATTTCGGGACGGAGTATTTTGTAGTCTGTAGATAAATATTGAAAGTCTCAGTTGTGACAACATGATGTCGTTGAGGTAATCTAAAACACTTATTATTGGAAAATGAGATATCTAAAGACAACATAATACACTTTCACACAATGCAATTATCTAATTTTCTCAATCAATTTTTTTTATTGAAACCAAGACATTATATCTTGAATAAAAAGAACATGATAAAAAATGTTGTTAAAGAACTAATGCATGGTTTGAAAACAAAATAAAAAATTAGTTTGAGTGACAAATTAGTAATCAAAGAGTCCAAATAATTTTGTAGTAGTAATTACCGTATAGTAACTAGATACAGAGTAATGTATTTATTTATATAAGGTATACTATATTAGTAGTCAATATGCATTATATGCGACATATATAATATACTACCTTTATTCTTTTTAATTGCAACTATTTGACTTTCACGTCGTCCCAAACACAACTTTGCCTGTAGTAGTAAACATTATAAAATGTTACGGAGTAATATTTTGGAAATTCACTTCAATAGTAAATTAATACTCCGTAATATCTTATGCATAAGAATTTGATCATATATATTAGTAGGAAATCATGATAAAAATAAGTTTTTGAATAGTGCACAAATCGCAATGTTGCAACTATAAAAGAATGGATGAAGTATATTTCTAGTTTCTAAGTTTCAAAAGGGTTTTTTCGATCGGGTCGGTTTCGGATTTTAGAACTCGAATTAAGGTTCAAGTTTTTTGGGCTCGTGTTGGGTATTTCATTCAGACTGGTCATTTTTAAAATAAAGCCGGAACTAATTTCATTTATCAGGTCGGGTCGGTTTATTTTTCGGGTTTGAGTCGGCTTTTCCCATCCTAATTTAAATGACAGAGGGAGTATATATATATAAATCAACAACAATTGTTCTGGTACACAAAGTTTGTATACATTTCACGCACATTTAAAAGAACTATCTATACACACAGACAATGCTACATGACCTGCCTGTGTACCAAGACAACCAAGGGATGTACAAAGACAATTACGTACAATGTGGACATAATGTGTACAAGTTTCATATACAAATGTATTTTTTCTAAAATCTGTGACTTGAAGAAAATTCCAAAAACTTGGTCCAAAAGGTGGAATCTCCCACCCCATGAGCCCCCACCCCGACCTGACAGGATGGTGGGGAGTTTAGTCAGGGTTACTCAGTCAGCAAAGCGGCCATAGGCCTTATCACGTGCGCATCAGAGGTCCAGCCTTATTTCAGATTCTGTAACCTCCACACGGTTGCTGCGGGTTTCAAACCTTGACCACTTAATCCAATTTTACCACCACTCGACCAACTCAGCTACCCGTGCATTAAAATTCCAAAAACTAAACCGCCGGCTCGGCGATGCATTTGGCCGTATGATGGTGTAATCTTTTGATTGACAGTGTGCGGGCGGAGAAAAGCAAAGGAATTAATGAATGCGTATCGGATCTTTAGATCGAACTGAGCTGGCACCTGTCACCCCTTTCATCGTAGCTTCTAATTTATCTCCATCTGCAATTATTATACTGAGCTTTATTCCTTTTGTTTGTATACTTACATAATTATTACCTAATACGGAAACTAATTAAATTGGATTTACATTTTACAGTTTACACCCACGGAAAGTGGAAACTCCCTCTATAAATTGGGGAACCATGCACATTCTATTTTGCACGTCAAGAACAGTAAGAACATTCTTTATTTCAACTTAGGGGTACCCTTCAACTTAGTGTTCATCAACTTAGCAGTTTCTTACCAAACACTTCAACAGAGCAGAGTATGGTTAAGATGGCTCTATCCACAATCAGAGTTTCCAGTTTAATCTTCTTGGCAGCAATTTGCTTCTTCCTCTTCGCACTGCAATCCCAATCTTATGGTCTGCACTTCTTTAATTTCCCTTTTGTTTAATTAATAACTTCATAAATGTTTTCTCTCTTCAACAAGTTCCACTCTTTTAACAAGAAACCTTACAATAATTTTGTTTTATTAATAATAATCAGATCATGCAGATTCTAAGATGGGGTATCAACCAAAGAGCATGGAAGTTCATGAAATGATTCAAAGCAGAAAGGTAAAGTATGGAGAATACTTATTAATGGATAAGAAATTTATTCTTTGAAAAATAGTGTTGACTACTTCTCATTTAAAATTTTAAAAATCTTAACTTCTCATTTCAAACAGAAATATTTGCTTAAAAGATGTTTTCTGAATATATTGTTGACATGTTTTACTTAAATATATATGTATGTGTCAGGTGTTGAAGATGCAAGAAGGGGAAGTGAAGATATCAAATATTGGGAATGGTGAGAAGATGATTGAGAGGGAGCTAAGGGAAGCCCCAATGGGTCCAGATCCTCTCCACCACCATGGGGGCAGCCCAATCAGCAGAAACAATAATCTGCAGCCTACAGAAAATCCTTAGAGATTTAATTACGTCATTAGTTACCCTAATTTTGTCTTAATGACTGGGTAGCTTTTCCAGTTTCTTTAACTTTGGCTGGCCGGCTATAGCTGATTAATTACGTACTTACTAGTGTTTTTGCTATGTTAGATACATGGCATTCAATACTGTGGATGCATGTAGAACAATTCATACATTAGTAGGTAGTCAAAAGGCCATGTAATATATTAGGTGCTTTTAATTTCCTGGCATTTGAACGTGTCACGTGTGGTAAATGAAATTTAGCAGTTCACTTTTATTTAAGTCCTTTTGCATGGGAATATACGTACTTAAAGAGATGATACGTAATACATATACGTAAGAAATTATCATCTGATACTCCATATAAGTTTAGTAGTAACGTATGCACCGCTATAAGACTGTATATATACGGAGTATATATATATTCAAATATTCTGGGTATGAAAAACAATACTACGTAGAAGTATTTACACAGGCGAATTCCTTCAAGTGAATTCTATTGTTAGTAAAATATGAAGTTAAGGGTCCCATTTTGTATTTATTTGTATCATCTTTTTTGAATCATCTGATAATTTTAAATCTTCTGAGCGCAATTTTTTTTATTATAAATTAATACTCCGTACTATATTAACTTTTTTGTACTCAGTAAGTAATAGAAGTGAAAAAGTAGTGAGGCTGCTAATGTTTTGTTAGGGGGTTAACCTAGGTTATTGCAAGTTGAATTTTTAGTTAATGTTTTGTTTGTATTTTTATAACAAGTACCTAGGTTATTAATAAATTTGAATTAACCTCATATAACTCCCGAGAATCTGGAAATTAATACCTAAAATTGAAGAATCTCCGAAGTGAGGGTTTCGGAGGTTAAGTTGTATAACATAAAATAAGCTAAAGTAACTTCATTCAAACAACATGTAGTACATTAACCTAGGTTCACTTTATTTATTTCCAAACAATATTTTACGCATGAACTCAGGTTCACTTAGGTTAACCTAGCTTTTATTAAAACTTAGATTTATTTTACTGTACTGGCTTTACTTAAGTTCATTTAACCCAAACAGAGCATAAAGGATTAACCTTCGAAATAATAATTAAAATTTTACCGTTGATACAAAAGTGTTAAATATAATGTCTCACACCGGATATCTCTGAAAGAATAAAACATTATATTAAGATATGAGCTACTCCTCCTATAAGGTTGACCTTTTAGGATGGAATCCCGGGTTTTAACATGATATCAGAGCCGAATTGATCCATAACCATGGTGTGGGGCCCCTTATTAAAAATGACGACATGATTATGAAAAATGACAATGACGAACTGCTGAAAAAAATAATGACGGCACGATCAAGACGAAGTGTATGGTCATGACTCATGAGGAGGAGTGTTAAATGTCCCACATCGGATATCTATGAAAGAATTAAACACTATATTAAGATCTGAGCTACTCCTTCTATAAGGTTGACCTTTTAGGATGAAACAGATCTTAACAGAAAGCTATTCAGAAGAATAAACCATTGTGATTTCCCATTAAATATCATAAAAGATGCAAATTCATTTGTTTAAGTTTAATTCAGAATAAAGTTAAAACTTGCTAGTACTAAATATGGAAATATATAATACTTCCTCCGTTCCCTTTTAATTGCAGCAGTCAATATTTCACGTTTACCAATGCACAAGTTTGACCATTAATATCTTTCATTCCTTATTAGTAAAAAAATTAAAAACTTCAATTTTTGAAAATTTAGAATGAAAAGAATTTAACAATATTTTAAAAAAAATTAATATATAATACATTAATTAATAAAATATAATCAAAGTAGAATATGTGAATAGTGCAAAAAGTCCAATGTTGCAAATTAAAAGAGAACGGAGGTAGTATTTGATTTTACCAGCATATTTGACCTCGAAAATTTGTTAATTTGAGTAATACTCCGTATACTCCCTCCGTTTCTGAAACAAGTTCCACCTTTCCTTTTCGGGCAGATTCAAAATTAAGTTCCACTTTCAAACATTTCCTTATTTGGTAAATTATCTACATCAAAACAGTGTCAAACAGTGTTCAAACAGTGCCAAACAGTGCACTCCACAGTAAAGTCAAATTTATTTTCTTAATATGTGTGAAGTCAAATGTGGAACTTGTTTCAGAAACGGAGGGAGTATAATTTAAATTAATTACAACAACAACAACCGACTCCGGATCCATTGGGACTAGGGATGGACCCAACCGGTTCGGTCCGGCCCGGCCCGGCCCGCTACTGTGCGGGCCCGGCCCGGCCCGCTACTGTGCGGCCCCCGCCCGGCCCGCTACTGTGCGGCCCCGGCCCGGCCCGCTACTGTGCACCAAATGGTTTCTCAAAAAATAAAAGCAAAAACAAATTAATCAAGGTTCGTAATCATAGCTGATAATCATGACCGTTCGTCAGAACTGCAATGTAAGCTAAGGCATCCTTGATCTACAACTAACCTGCTTAAAAAATTGCCTCTTACATTGATTGCGTGTTTATATATGTCACCTCATCAGGTGCCTTCTTCTCCCTTTTCCATGCAAAGTCGCTTATCTAAAATTAATTCAAAATATTTGAAATGAGATATCTCGTTTCAAGCTTTCAGATGGTAGGTAAAAGTTACTCTGTTCACTCAACAATGTCCCTCACTCTTTCTATCTTAGAATTTTATGTTATTTCCGATTTTTCTCTCTAATAAAATAATCTATTGGAATTTTTGCTAACGTTTATTTATCTCATCGATCTTAAAATTTTTGTCATTTTTATTTTAAAATAAGTAATTGTAATTCTGCTTATTTATTTCTCATCTGCATTAATTTCAATGATATTTTTTTACTTTTTTTATTTCACACCTAACTTTCACTTGGCAACGTCAAATTAGACGGATCTAATACATATATTATCTAATACATTTTCGCCAAAAAACTCAAACTAGAGAAGACCAAATCTGAATTTTCAGACCAAGTTAAAATCCAAAACATCTTTATTCTGTTTTATTCGGTATTGTTACGGTTATCCCTATATTTATTCTTATCAATAATTCCTTTGGTACACGTCCAAACCTAGGCACGTGGTGTACAAACCCTTTTTAAACTGAGTGCAAACAATATTTTTTCATTTTTAGTTGAATTGTGTGTTACAAACAATTTTTTTGTTTGTGTCAAAGACAATTTTTTATATGTATTGAAGACAATTCTCTTTATGCAAACAAAAAAGTATTGTCCTTACATAGACAAAATGAGGTGTGTAAACACCGTGTATGAGTTTGACATGTACACGAAAAATTATAGTTATTGTCAAGTTTGACTGGCACGAGAAAATAATAATGAAAAAATGTGTTGTTAAATTTGTGCACATGAGAGAATTAATATGATCTACATATTAATTGATTGGAAAGAAAAGTGGAAAAGTTTTTATGATAACCACAAGGAAATATAACATAGTTATTCAGCCTTGCTTCTTATACACAATTGTTAAGATCTGGGGTAGATATTTGTGCAGAGGAGAGAAAAATAACAAGAGCCACAAATTGATTGATTAAAAGGGAAACTGGTAAAGTTTTGGGGACATCCAAAAAAGGAAAGTTGGCAAAGTTATAAGGGACAGAGGGGGTATTTTTTATAATCATCATCATTTTTTCATAGGGGTCCCACACCAAGTTAGGGATTGATTTGGCTTTAATATCATGTTAACACATTGAGTTACATTCTAAAAATTAACATAATTGGAGAATAACCTAAAATTTTAATATAATGTTTAACTGTTATAGAGATATGTGATTTAGAACAATAACAACCTTATACACATATTTTTGGACAAACTGTTAATTTTATCTGTGAACAAGCGATTTTTAGAAAACAAAAACAAGTTCAACAACGTGTGTATTATATACGTAGTATGTACGAAACAATGTGTATAAACAATTTTTTTTTTCAAACCCATTGGGGATGAAAGAGTATGATCGTATGATATTTTAAGATTTACTTCCCACAAATACGCGGTACGAAGTATTGAAGTAGACGGGGCGCCGTCACTCACATCTCGTAAGCTGCTAGCAGCCGGTAAATTGCAGAAATGACAGAGAAGTCGACAGAGACAGGGGGTTCGTCAAAAGGTTTCAGTTCACTGTATGTTCGAATCTAAAGATAACAGAAACAGGCAGACCCAAAGCCAATGTACAACATTCATAAAAAAAGATACTCCGTACCGAATTGAATTGCAAACTTTGACCGACACAAGGATTAAAGAATGACAATAAATGATATTTGTTTTTTACACTTTTGTCCATCTTTCTAAAAGTAGATGTCTTTAAGTTAATGGGAAAAAAATAAAAGTAAGAGTAAATTTGTCAATTTATTCTTATTCACATACCTAAAATAGAAAGTGGAAAATCATTTTGGGACAACCAAAAAAGAAAATTTTGCAAATCAAATTGGGACGGAAGGAGTACACCCCATCTTGAGGGTCTCCAATATTGACAGGATGATATGTTGGAAAGATTTAAATTAGACTATAATCACAATTTGACAGATAGAGAGTGAGGCTCTATCCCTGATACTTGCAGAAACCCTATTCATTTTTTAGCATAGTAACCTCTCATCGCAGTCAGTGGCGGAACCAGCTCGAGGAGATTGTAGGGGCACAAATAGGAAAGGGAAGAACTTTGGGCTTAAGTATGTGGGCTGTAGGGGCTAATTAATGAAATAATATATATATATATATATATATATATATATATATATATATATAATAAAGATCAAATGAGAAGACATCTTAACGTAAGAAGTGAGAAGCGTCACATTTGGCTCTTTCTGATGCACTTTTGCGCTAATCTGGTGCACTTTTTGCGATCGCGGAAAAATTACGATTAATTAAAAAAGTGATGCAAGACGCGGTGACATTACCGTATTTAATCAGAACTTTTCTGCTATCCCAAAAAGTGCATCAGATTAGCGCAAAAATAAATCACAAAAAGGCAAATGTGAAGCTTCTTATTTCTCACGTTAAGATGTCTTGTTATTAGAACTCAACCCTATATATATATTAAAAAATAATCACTACAGGGGCTGGTGCACCCCCAAACACTCCTCTACTTCCGCCATTGATCGCAGTTGCCGAGATTCCAACCCGAGACCTAACCCTTATGGCAATCCATCGTTACCAGTTAAGCTATTATATGCCCACCGGTTTGAGACTACGTACTCCAACTAGTACTACTTACTTCCAATTTGTTCTCATGGAGCATTTGACTTTGGCCGAGTGCCGCC